AGGCGCTGCTGCTACTGGCCAGTTTGAGGCAGTCGCCTCTCCATCAGCAACAACGGAGGGGCAGATGAGCGACGCTCACGACAACGAGCGGAGCTCCGGGTGGATAAAATACAGTAAGTTAGCACAGTGGGTAAGGGGGCGGGGGGGGGTTACATCTGGTGGTGCATCTATCCACCGGTCATCTCAGACAACCCACGGCACCTGATGGGTCTGACCCGAGACCTGCAGTCAGTGAGCCTGGGACACTTTACGTCGCCTCAAAGTGCACCTGGCCTGGCACAGGCACGGTGGTGACGTCACCGAAACTTAACGGGGCGGTTATTGGTTTGTGTGCGGGGAGTGGTAGCGTGGTGGTTAGCGCTATAAGCTGCGCTTACGAACCTGGCGACCCGGGTTCGATTCCCCCTCACGGACAACACCCAGTGACGATTAACTGAACCGGTGCAGGGCCTCCCCTAGGTGGACTCAGTCTCAAATGAATACCCGCTGCAGTGTGTAAACATCGCCACGGGGGAGACAAAGGCCGCCGGGTGCGGTGTTGGCGACCCACCCCATCGTGTTCCGTTCGGGCCTTCATCGGAGGTGCTACTCGCTAATGGCACTTGTCCCTACAGCCTGCTAGAGGCTACACGGGGGACCTATGCCTGTGTATAGGTGCTGCTCGCTACTCGCTACTAACAGCACTTGCCCCTACAGCCCTGCTAGAGGCTACCTGGGGGAGCTTTGTCTGTGTGTGGTGTGTGTAGTACATAGACACTGCTGCTGCTACTCGCTAGCTAATAGCACTTGCCCCTGCAGCCCCGCTAGAGGCTACCTGGGGGAGCTTTGTCTGTGTGTGGTGTGTGTAGTACATAGACACTGCTGCTGCTACTCGCTAGCTAATAGCACTTGCCCCTGCAGCCCCGCTAGAGGCTACCTGGGGGAGCTTTGTCTGTGTGTGTTGTGTGTGTAGTACATAGACACTGCTGCTGCTACTCGCTAGCTAACAGCACTTGCCCCTACAGCCCTGCTAGAGGCTACACGGGGGAGCTTTGTCTGTGTGTAGGTGCTGCTGCTCGATACTAACAACACTTGCCCCTACATCCTGCTGGAGCTGGGGTCTGAAACTCAACTTACCTGGGGGCCGCTGGAGGTAGAGTCTGGGTGAGGCTGGGCCGCATCAAGTATTCCAAAAAAAAGTACAACTGATCCAATCTTCTCAATCTTTATTAATAACAGTTCAGAACATGAACGGTTCTTCAGAACGTAGGCTTCTCTTACCTACTCCTTGCTGCCAGAGACCTGGCAGCGCTTCCTCTTCTTACACAGCTGAGCCACATTTGGCTTGAGGGAGGAAGCAATTGAGACCCTCAGTAAGTTTGGACCTGTACTTTGACTTATTAAAGTTCATGGTGCAGAAGAGCTTTTCACACAGATATGTGCTCCCAAAAAGGCGCATGGTCCGCTTGAACATCCTGGAAAGCTCAGGGAAGGTGGGGGGCAATTCTCTCAAAAATTGTCCAAGCTTGTATGCTTTTGCACTCACCTCCCTGAACTTGGCTTTGAGTTCAGAATTGCACTGCAGGTCAATTAGCTCCATTTGAAGCACAGGAGGGGCATCTTGCACATCGAAGGAGAAGGGGTCAGCAAAAATTTGAAAAGTGGCTCTGTGTGTCTTGAAGTCTGCAAACCTGTGATCAAATTCCTCCTGTAGCTTTACAATGGCATCAGCATACTTCTCACCACTGAATGGTGTGCCTGCGTCCATGAGTGCCTTGCATGCTGAGAGAGCTGGGCTTTCCATAGCACAAGTTTTGTGGAGAATGCTCTGACTTTGTCATAGGCAGCACTGACAAGATGCCCCTGGCCTTGTAACTTCTTGTTTAGTACATTCAGCTCCTGTGTGATGTCAACAAGAAAAGCTAAGTCCATGAGCCATTTGGGATCACTTAGAACAGGAACAGCCATCCCATCCTTCTCCATGAAGGCTTTCACTTCTGCTCTCAACTCAAAAAACCTCTTCAAGATGTTTCCCCTGCTGAGTCAACGTACCTCGGTGAAGTAGAGCACATCCTCATATGCTGACTATTTCCTCTAAAAAGGCGCGGAACTGCCGGTGCTTTAAGCCCCTGGATCTGATATGGTTGATGCATTTCACAACGACAGACATCACATTGTCAAACTTCAGGCATTTGCTGCAAAGGGCCTGCTGATGGATAATGCAGTGCAGAGCAATGGCCTCCTCAACACCCTCCTCTTCCAGTTTTCTTTGAACATGTGCTTTTTTTGAGCACTTCGTTTTTCTTATCATTATTAAATTTATCAATCGTGTTCTCTCTCAGGTGTTTATACCTTTCACATTCGTAAATAAAGTGATCTAGATTTTCTTATTTTTGTTTACATCGCTGTCCTCCAGACAGTCTCGTCCCCTTCACCTGATGAAGGCTGCTTGTGTTGTGGCCGAAACGTCGTGAGAATATTATTGCGTTATTTTATTTTATCAATTTATTATTTTATTCTCATTCTACGTGACTTTACCGAAAGAACCAAAGAAGATAACTTCTTCTTTATAATATTCAGGTTCTAACCACCATTTGGCTTTTGTTATTGCCACCCATCTCATGCTATTTGCTATCCATGTAATTATTTTCCCTTTCCTATTGCAACACCGTGTTGTCTTTATTAGGTCACTGATTACTCTTGTTGAGTCCGCCCACTTCCTAAGTCCTCTGTACCTTGCACTGGGTGACAGCATATATTTTCCTTCCACTTGGTGTCACTCCGGAATCACGTTTCAACCAAGTGACTAACGTTGCTAATTCGCGTTGGCTCACTTGTCAACAAACACCGGATGCTGTCACGAGCCTGAGCTATGGAAAAAATATATATAATAATTAAAAAATAAATTAAAAATTGATGTCAAGTAGGGGGCCACAAAATATTGTTCCGTGGGCCGCAATTGGCCCGCGGGCCGCGAGTTTGAGACCCCTGCAGCTAGAGGCTACACGGGGGACCTATGCCTGTGTATACGTGCTGCTCGCTAATAACAACAGTTGCCCCTACATCCTGCTAGAGGCTACACGGGGGACCTATGCCTGTGTATAGGTGCTGTTGCTCGCTACTAGCAGCACTTGCCCCTACTGCCTGCTAGAGGCTGCACGGGAGACCTTTGTCTGTGTCGGTGCTCCTACTCGCTACTTACAGCACTTGCCCCTACAGTCTGCTAGAGGCTACACGGGGAATCTTTATCTGTGTATAGGTGCTGCTGCTCGCTACCAACAGCACTTGCCTCGACAGCCTGCTAGAGGCTACCCGGGGGATCTTTGTCTGTGTATAGGTGCTGCTACTCGCTACTAACAGCACTTGCCCCTACAGCCTGCTCGAGGCTACCTGGGGGATCTTTGTCTGTGTGTAGGTGCTGCTACTCGCTACTAACAGCACTTGCCCCTACAGCCTGCTAGAGGCTACCAGGGGGATCTTTGTCTGTGTGTAGGTGCTGCTACTCGCTACTAACAGCACTTGCCCCTACAGCATGAAAGAGGCTACACGGGGGACCTATGTCTGTGTATAGGTGCTGCTGCTCGCTACTAACAGCACTTGCCCCTACAGCCTTCTCGAGGCTACCTGGGGGATCTTTGTCTGTGTGTAGGTGCTGCTACTCGCTACTAACAGCACTTGCCCCTACAGCCTGCTAGAGGCTACACGGGGGAGCTTTGTCTGTGTGTAGGTGCTGCTACTAACAGCACTTGCCCCTACAGCCTGCTCGAGGCTACACGGGGTAGCTTTGTCTGTGTATAGGTGCTGCTGCTCGCTACTAACAGCACTTGCCCCTACAGCCTGCTCGAGGCTACCTGGGGGATCTTTATCTGTGTGTAGGTGCTGCTACTCGCTACTAACAGCACTTGCCCCTACAGCATGAAAGAGGCTACACGGGGGATCTTTGTCTGTGTGTAGTTGCTGCTACTAACAGCACTTGCCCCTACAGCCTGCTAGAGGCTACACTGGGGATCGTTGTCTGTGTGTAGGTGCTGCTACTCGCTACTAACAGCACTTGCCCCTACAGCCTGCTAGAGGCTACACGGGGGAGCTTTGTCTGTGTGTAGGTGCTGCTACTCGCTACTAACAGCACTTGCCCCTACTGCCTGCTAGAGGCTGCACGGGGGAGCTTTGTCTGTGTCGGTGCTCCTACTCGCTACTTACAGCACTTGCCCCTACAGCCTGTTAGAGGCTACACGGGGGATCTTTGTCTGTGTATAGGTGCTGCTGCTCGCTACTAACAGCACTTGCCTCGACAGCCTGCTCGAGGCTACACGGGGGATCTTTGTCTGTGTGTAGGTGCTGCTACTCGCTACTAACAGCACTTGCCTCGACAGCCTGCTAGAGGCTACCTGGGGGATCTTTGTCTGTGTGTAGGTGCTGCTGCTCGTTACCAACAACACTTGCCCCTACAGCCTGCTAGAGGCTTCATGGGGGATCTTTGTCTGTGTGTAGGTGCTGCTACTCGCTACTAACAGCACTTGCCCCTACAGCCTGCTAGAGGCTACCAGGGGGATCTTTGTCTGTGTGTAGATGCTGCTACTCGCTACTACTAACAGCACTTGCCCCTACAGCCTGCTAGAGGCTACACGGGGGAGCTTTGTCTGTGTGTAGGTGCTGCTACTCGCTACTAACAGCACTTGCCTCGACAGCCTGCTAGAGGCTACCTGGGGGATCTTTGTCTGTGTGTAGGTGCTGCTGCTCGTTACCAACAACACTTGCCCCTACAGCCTGCTAGAGGCTACATGGGGGATCTTTGTCTGTGTGTAGGTGCTGCTACTCGCTACTAACAGCACTTGCCCTACAGCCTGCTAGAGGCTACCAGGGGGATCTTTGTCTGTGTGTAGATGCTGCTACTCGCTACTACTAACAGCACTTGCCCCTACAGCCTGCTAGAGGCTACACGGGGGAGCTTTGTCTGTGTATAGGTGCTGCTGCTCCCTACTAACAGGGGGATATTTGTCTTTGTACGATTGCACTGAGGAGGGACTGAGTTGGCCGTGCAGGGGTGGCGCTGGCTACCCATCCCCGCGTCCCACTCCAGCCACAGTTGCATACACGGAGTCACTCATTACAAATATATATTTGCACACCACCCCCAACCGTTTGTAGGCGATAAGCAAAACATGTTTGTTTGAGTGTCTTCACCGATCCAATGCATCTCTGGGGATTTTAAAGTCTCCCAGTTCACCTCGCAGACTCAGTCAGCGCTCCAGGGATATATATCTCTCTCTCTCTGACTGTAACTCTGTCTCTCTCAACTCGCCGGCTTTCCATCCCAAAGGCGCCACAACGCCAGGCTCCACGACCCGAACCATGACTTGCCACCTGCCGGGTCTGCTCCTCGTGGCGTTGCTGTTCGTGAGCGGAGGTGAGACAACTTCTGCGTGGCGAGTTGTTCGATCCCTGGACCCTGTTGTGTCTGCATCTCTCTCACAAGCGAGATGTTGACTACCTCGCCTTGTGTACAGGAGGACGTGGGTTCGATTCTGGACCCTGAGCATGTCTGCTTTTGTATATTTGGAGTTTGCATGCCTCTCTCTCCCCGTGGAGATGTTAACTACCTCACCTGGTATAAAGGAGGTCGTGGGTTCGATTCCGGACACTTTCGATGCCTGCTGCTGTATATTTGGAGTCTGTGTCTCTCTCTGCACGTGGAGATGCTAACTTCCTCGCCTGGTGTGCAGGAGGTCGTGGGTTCGATCCCGGACCCTGACGATGCCTGCTGCTGTATATTTGGAGTCTGTGTGCGTCCCTCTCTCCCTCTCCTTGGTGGTCACTGCCGTTGATTCTTTTCTCCGGGTGCTCCAGTTCTTCCCCCCTCCACGTTTAGAAAACGTGCATTGTTATTTTTTAGATTATACACTTTTTGGTTCTTTCGGTAAAGTCACGTAGGTCTGAAATTAAATAAATCACGACGTTTCGATCGCGAACACAAGCGACCGTCATCAGGTGGAACAGATGCAGCAGGAGAACTGCTGACATAGGAGAAGGAGCTGCTGCAACAAGAGTTTATATCGGATTATTTCGATTATTATGCTGTTGCTATACATTCTACGTGATCATGATGATGATGACATCAGCATTTGGTTGAGCTGCTATCATTTGTCATAGCCAGATCGCTTCTGAAAAAAAATAATCAATAGCTCAGTGGGTTTTACCTGGTAAGCAATACTAATAATAATTCAAATGTTTAGTGCGGCATTCCATACACGTTAACCCCCTTTATCAGTGCCTACCATATTCCGGACCAAATCAGACCTTATTGGTCACCCCCGTGCCCTTATACATCTCAAGGCTCATCCTGAAAAGTCCCATCACAAGGGAGAAACACATAGACAAAAACAAATAATGTTGCCCATATTGAGACGGCTGTACCCCGAATGGACCTGAAAACTCTATTTCCCCTGTACAAAAATACGGGGTAAACCGTACGGGATGACAAGAATGTAATTCCATCCCAGGATCCCCAGTGCGCAATGCATGAAAAGCAGGAAACAAACCAGTACCGCGAGAGGGGGGACAACCGACCCAAGCTAAAGAGAGGGAAGGCCACTTTACAGAGATGGGGGGGGGGGGGGTCCTCAAAGCCGACTCAAATCTATCTACCGACTCCGATCGACCTGACTTCAAGTGGCAAGGCGTTCCATAGGCCTGTGGGTTGCCATGCGAACAAAAGCGCCAATCACCAAAAGATAGCGCAACCCTAGAGACCTGTGGGAGTGCTGAGCAGTTGGAGATCATAAGATCTTAAGGACCTTGATGGAATATAGAAGTGTAGTAGTTCCTGCAAGTGATTAATAATAATTCAAATGTACAATGCTGCATTCCATTCTTAGGATCTCAAATGTGCAATGCATGGGAAGCAGGAAACGAAGACAGAACCACGGGGGGGGGGGGAGGGGGGAAAACGACCCACACTAGAGTGAGGGAAGGCTAATTTTAAAGAGATGGGGTTTCTCAAAGCAAGACTTGAATATTTCCATAAGAAGAACAAACGTTTGTTTTACGTGTATTATTTGTAAATTATTTTTTGTTTTATTCCGAAACTTTGCACTCCTATCGGTGTCTGCGAGTATTGTTTAACATGTAGGCTTTCGCGACCAATATTATTCATAATAAAGGTTTTTGGGTTAGATCGCGTTTATTTATAAATGTGTCGTAACCCTCCACCACCCGACACGGCCAATCCGCAATAAAAGTGTCACGTTGACAAAAAGACAAATAATTCACTACTTTAGCCCACCGGTGTGTTGAAGAGTGAATCCACATTTACAGTTTGAGTACGCCGTTTCGCTGGTAAATACATCCAGCATCATCGGGCAATTCGCCACAATGGTAAAGCCCTCGCTTGCTCCCGGTTTTATATAGAGCAGCAGCAGGGTGACGTCATCACTTAACTCATATCAGGTGCAGTGATTAGAGGCAGAGGGGGGGGGGGTATTGTAATTATATAATCGATTAGTAATCAGTCATTGGTTATGATTAGTAATGAGTTGTAGATTAGTAATTCTTTAAATCAAAATGTAAGGTGTATTATTTAATAATACGCTTCCAGGCCGCACTAAGCCTGTTGCTGTCAGAGCGATTAAAGTTATTCTTGTTCCTCTAAATTTCAATGGATTCTCTAATTAGTCTTTGCCAGTAATAATTAGTTTTACACACCACTGCAACATTGTCAAAATCAATTGAGTGTCCTTGTTCTGTAAGTATTGTATGTTTGCTGTTGTTGTAACGTTCTGACCACCCCGTTTCCTTTGACCGGACATGTGTGACACAAAGAGCTTTATAGCTCATGGGATTACTCCACCTGTAGTATAAATGCACTATTCTGATAAAATATTCTCGATTTTTTTCTTTAAATAATCTTCCACACGCACCATCCATCATTACCGAATCATCAATCTCATTCAGCGTTAACATATGTTCGCTCCAAAACAGCTGCTTAGGGATGGATGGCTGATGAGACAGCATCAACAGCAATGTGGGGTTTTGCTAGGTTGTAAGTACTAAAAACAATCCATTGGTGATAAGTCGGATGCACGGGCCGACTTGTCATTATATCAGAAACTAAGAGAAAGGAAGCACCCAATCAATATTTTCAATAAGCTAAAACGTAACAATAATAATACACTTATAACAAATCTAACGCGTATAATTCACATCAAAGTCACGTCCGCATCTCGAATAACAAACTGTGGGGAGGAATGCATCGGCGTTCACGTCGCACCACCCCCGGTCAGTGCCCAGGTCAACGTGGAGCGAAACGAGCGATCCTGCAAGCAGACGAAATTCCAAGCAGAAGCTTCGTGAGAGGAGCCTCAAAAGAATCCCCGTCAAAGCCCCCGAGGATCACGTCGCAGTCGGCCCGGCCCTCGGAATCCTCACACTCGATGCTGAAAACCCCCCCGTCGACGGCCTCGTCAAAGTCCTCGCCGCTGCTGCCCAACGGCTCCGCCGGTGTCATCGGCAGCGCGAGAAACCCCCACGTTGGTGGGGAAGAAGTCCCGCGCGGAGTACTCCATCAAAAAAGGTCGCGAGCTCACCAGGCGGTCCGCCTAGACGCGCTGAGCGTGGCCGTGCCACCTACATCCGAGCCGGCGCCGCCCCAAGCACAACTGCCTGGCAACGAGCCACCTTCTCGGACACCCTGGCAAGTTGGCGGGTTTCCACTATAGCCATTAGTCTACAAGCTCCCCCCCCCCCCACGCAGTACCAGCTGGGAACAGCCAAGTCCTGCCTGCCCTCCCCCTACCCAACCATCTACGTAAGGTGTTGAGACTTTAACAGCCACCATCCAGACTGGGGGCTACCTAGCGTCAGACAGCGAAAGGGAGAAGGCACTTTGCAGACCGGGCACTGAGGAACGAGATGGCTCTCGTACACGACCCAAAACAAATGAGGGGTAAATTCCATTCGGCCAGATGACACCAGTGGGGACTACCCACTTGACATGTTTGCTGGGTCAGTTCTTTCAATGGACCCCCCCTTCCTTTCCCCGAACGGGGCGAGGGCCTTGTCCGAGATGATTCCCCGCACGGTCAAAACCACCGCCCTCCCCCTAACTCATCCACGGTAGGCCCTGCGCGTCCCATGAGTCAACAGCTCAAAAAAGGTATTAAAAAATAAGAATGGGTTTTACCCTTTCTGGAAATAAAACCGGTGTTAAGATGTTAAAACGCTAAATAGAAACCTTTTGCAATGAATCAAGTCCTGCGTTAACCACGGACAATACTTATGTTGAACTTGCATATATTATGCTTTGATAATATATGCATTATCTTTGAAACTGGTTGGCCAACACCAGAGACAGCCTTCGTTAGGGCCTAATCTCACCAGTGTCAGACCAGAGACCAGAGGACGCCACAAATACCATGTGTGGATAATGCAGTAACTTAAGTTCTTGCAAAAGATTGCTATTTGGTGTTTGAACACCTTAACACAACTGCTGTCTTATTGCCAGAATGAGCGAAACCTATTCATATATTTGCATACTTTGATAGCTGGCAAAAAAGGGTCCCATTTTGTAGCAAAAAAATCGTAAGTGGAACTTCCGGAAAAGCCAAATCGGACGAAAATAATACAGCAATACCCCTGGAGCGCAACGTCCCCCCCCTCCCCAACAATCCCACAACAAAAATATCACCTTAACACATTGGCTTTCGCGACCAATATCATCCATAAAATAGTTTTTTTGGGGGGTTATATCACTAACACTACAATAGTGACGATTATTTGAACTGGTCCTGGGCCTCTCCTAGGTCAACTCAGCCTCAAATGGGTATCTGGTAGGGTGTGTAAACATCGCCACTCAGGAGACGAAGCCAGACAGGTGCGGTGCTAGCATTCCTGTCAACCCCTTACTAGTGCCTACCTTATTACAGACCAATTCAGACCTTTATGGTCACCCCGTGCCCTTATAAATTTCAACGTTCATCCTACAAAGTCCCATCACAAGGGAGAAACACAAACAGACAAAAAAAAACATTTATTTGTGCCCTATTTTAACGGCCGCAAGCCGTATGGATCTGAAAACTCCATTTCCCTCTACAAAAATACGGGCAAACCGTATGGGTTCACAAGTATGTGCTGGCTACCCACCCCCCTCGTGTGCCATTTCGGCCTTCATTAGGTGCTCGCTAACAGCACTTGCCCCAACAGTCTGTTAAGGCTATACTGGGGAAATTTGTCTTGTTGTCTACTGCATACATGTACAGGGCACAGTCTCAAATGCTACGAGTGCACGGGGGCCACTGCCAACAAGGTGTGCAACGGGGATGGGCCCACTGCATGTGCCGCCACCACGCTGGACACCTGCGGGACGATGCTACTCTACCCGGGGCACCTGTAAGTGATCCGCTTACCCTCGACTCCCGTCGCCGTCGAATCGTTCGCAAACTCGGGGCTGCTTTGCGGTGCGAAAGAAGTTCAGTGCGGACACTTACTGCACGACTATATATGATGCACTGCGATAGTAGTGCATAGTGTACAGTAATGGAGTGTATAGTAGTGTAGTGCAGTGTGTAATAGTGTGGTGTATGGTAGTGGAGTGCAGTGCAGAGTAGTGTAGTGCAGTGCAGAGAAGTGTAGTGTTTAGCGGTGCAGTGTAAAGTGGTGTAGTGTATAGTACAGTGTAAAGTAGTGTACGATGTATGTTGAACTTTTGTCACAGCCCACGTAGAGAGCTTCACAGTGACTTTCAGCCCCCACTAATGCGCTCACGAGACACACAAACGCGCACGCAGATTATCACACAATGAGACCCGCGTGCTTTCTGTTCCATCCAGCCTACATCGTCACCAAGGCACCACCAACGGAGCCACGCTGCTCACCACGTGCTGCCAGAGCGACGGCTGTAACGTCAACGCCGCTCCTCCTCGCCCCCGCTGGACGCAGCTCACGTGACCCTGGCCCTGCTGGGCGTGGCCATCAGCGTCGTGGTCAGCAGGGCTCTGGTGTAGGTCGTGACGTCACAGCCGCGCGCCCCCCCCCCCCCCCACTCGTTTGGTTTACGATGCTTCCACCCGTGGAGCTGTGCAACGTTATTGCGATACGCTGAGAAGTTCAACGTACATTTGTACATACATTGAGACAAATGGAATCGCCACACAGAGACCCGTAGACTCATCATACAAAGACCCATAGACCTACCACACACAGAGACGTTCACTTAACCCTTTCATGTGTCAGATTAAGTACATGTACGTCATCAGTCTTTCTTCTGATTCTGCTTCCGATGACGTTCTGCATGCGTCATCGGAAGGGACGTGTACATCATCGGAAAGGAACCAGAATTAAAACTAAAAGTAACTTTATTTGGTACGTACCGAGGCTCCCCCCGCAACAAGGCCACGTGGCGGAGGGGCGTGTGTGTGGCACAGTTTTGGCGCCGGCTCAAATTGTAGTCAGAATATTTACTTGCACTGGAGGAGGCATCCAATGGGCTATGAAGCTCTTTTTCCCACAGATATTCCACAGCTATTGTAGATAGTGCGCGAGGCTGGTCATGTCGCTCCGGTTTCTCTGTGTGGTGAGTCACAGAAACAACGTCAGATATATATAATCTACTAAACCTCTACAAATTTAAATTAAACGCTAATGACAGCTTTGCCGCATGGTTCCCGAGGTCCGGCGGTTGTAACGGGACATTCACACCCACTCACACACCCACCCACCCTGCCACTTTGCAGACGTCATTGGAATGGGGAAAAGGGATCTTAACGCAATCGTCGCACACAATGACACGCATCTTTTTTTTTAAGCGCGACACGGCCATTGCATTGGAGTGTAAAATGTAACTCGGCACAAGTGGAGGTGGGAGAAGTGGGTACTCAGAAACATGTCTTGTGTCATTTATAAAGAGGCGGACAGTCGATCCATTATGGCAGAAGGAGATGGAATAGGATGTTAAACCTGGTCACGTTTAGAGTGTGTGCAGATGATTGGTGGGGTGGGGGACTCTAGACTATAGGGTGGAGGTAGCAGATTTCGTGTGACCTCCCACTCATACCACACGATTTGTTTCAAACAAAAACCTATTGTTATATTTTGACACTGGCAAATGAGGTCCCATGATGTAGCTGCTCGCCCCGAGCCCCTAGTGTCCTGATAGTGGCATTGTCTTTGTGCTCTTCGCCTTTTGGCGTCCTCTGGTCTTACACTGTTCGAGACTAGGCTCTAAAGAAAGCTGTCTCTGGTGTGGACCAATCAGTTTCAAAGACAATGCATATACTGACAGAGCATGTTTTTTTTTGTATTTTCACCACAAGTATATGTGGTTAATGCAGACATGATTTCTTGCAAAAGGTGTCAGTTTTTTTTTAACATCTTAACACCTGTTTTGTTGCCAGAAAAAAGGGGAAAACCTATTCTCATATTTTGATACTGGCAAAGGAGGTCCCATGACATATTGAGTATGTGGAATAATCACGAACCCCTCTCCCATACTCAATGTCTGAATTAATTAACCCAATCTCAGCACTGGAGCATCTGGCCTATAAGCTCAGGGACAAGGAATAAAAATACACACGTACACTAGGTCCATTCCTAAACCTTACACCAGTCTTAAATAGCTGAGCTCAGAACGGCAATAATTCCCCAAATAAAATCACCTTCCCCCACCTGCTCCGATGAGTGTGGCGTGCCTTATACCGTCGATGTATCTGGAAATACCATCCAGAACGTCAGGATGTTGCAATGTATGATGTGAGGGAGGATGTGGAATAAAAATATTTTATTTCAAAAAGTATATCTACAAATACAACATTTTTATCTTAATCGGTAAGATCCACTGAGCTATGTAGCTCTTTATAAGAAACGGTCTGGCCACAAATGACAGCTCAACGAAGTGGCTTTATCATCACGTTGAAATTTATAGCAGCTAAAATATGTTTCTAAATGTGGTGGGAAAAATATTCTGCTTCAGGATGTTGATTTAAGGAGGATTCATGATGTTAAGAGAGGAAACCATGTCGTTCCAAAACGTTAATGCTGCAAAGGCAAAGGATTTGTCATCTGTTCCAATTCTCGTTCTTGGGATAGTTAAAAGGCAATTTGAGGGACGTCTTGGGTATCTTGGGTTTGACAATGGACGATTTTTGACCCCCGCCCCCCTCTCGTAACACGGCGTCACAAAAAGTCAGACCCCCCCCTCAAATATGTCACAAAGCTCTGCCCCCCCCCAAAAAAAAAACATGCTTCAAATCACTTTAAGCTATTGTCATTGTAGTGCGTATTTAATGGTGCGCTGCACTCTGATGTTGTAGGAGAAAACATGTATTGAAAAGTCTATTTAATTAAGTAGAACGTGTTGTCCATATGTATTTAAAGTTGCGCATTTCGATGTGACGTCACATTTCTCAAACACCCCCCCCCCCCTCCTCGTCACACATCGTCACAAATGTCTGACATCCCACCCCCCCTAAGTGCGTAACGTCATTTATGGACGGTCCCTTATCACTGAGCACGCGCATTGATCAGTCGATCGTTCGTATTCGTTTTTAATTTATACTCTAATATTTGTGTTTTTTGCATACATATCTGCGGATAATTTGTATTTTCGGATTATCCGCAATTTTGAATTATCCACGGCCGACCTCTCCGTTATTAGCGAGGATAATCGACAGTTTATTGTGAATATATAAAAAAAAATGTTTCGTTTACGTGACCAAGACGACTGATTAAAAGGTCACAGGGGTAGAAACCATCATGAATGATTTTAGTGTAGAGTGGAGTGGGATATGCAAGTGAAAGAAGGATGCTATAAAAGACCACTATTGATCAGATCAGGCACATTCAGGGTAACTTAGTTATAGGCATTTATTCAATGATATTCAACATTTGAAAATAATGAATCCACACTCATTCATATGTGTATTTATTTGTGCAGGTTAAATATTTGCCAATTACTATATCAACATTTAATCAATCACGATAACTATTACATTAAGTTGAAAACTCACAGCTACCTATATTCTTGGTTCTTTCGGGAAAGTCACGTTGAAGGGAAACAAAATATATATATTATTTAGTTGTTTCCCTTCAACGTGACTTTATCGAAAGAACCAAGAATATGAATCACTGCAGTCACGAAAGCTTAGAATCAAAATTTCACAGCTACCTGTTACAAATTCCATGTTCGAAATAGCAACATATCCACAAATCTTTATTCATATTTTAACTTGTACAACAATTCAGGATTCTACGAAACTATCAAACAGAATAAACATGAATAATAATAAAAACAAATGGCCACCAAGTTTAAAAACGAAAATTACCGAAATGCAATGGTTTATGTTGTACAACACACAATAGCAAACTACTCTCACACAACATTGGCGTAACATGACATAAATATCTTCTTTGGTTCTTTCGGTAAAGTAACGTAGAATGAGAATAAAATAATAAAATAACACAATAAAACTTTCACGACGTTTCGGCCACAACGCAAGTGGCCATCTTCAGGTAAAAGATACAGAACTGTCGGGACGACAGAGCTTCAATGAACGATGTTAAGATTCGTAGCGACTTTTAAGCTGGTTGGGAGAAGTGAGGCAGCTTGACAAAGGGGTTTACATATCAATAGCTGAGGGATTAGCTTGTGACTCAGCTATTGATATGTAAACCCCTTTGTCAAGGTGCCTCACTTCTCCCAACCAGCTTAAAAGTCGCTACAAATCTTAACATCGTTCATTGAAGCTCTGTCGTCCCGACAGTTCTGTACCTTTCACCTGAAGACGGCCGCTTGCATTGTGGCCGAAACGTCGTGAGAATTTTATTGTTTTATTTTATTATTTTATTCTCATTATACGTGACTTTACCGAAAGAAACAAAGAAGATGAATCCTTGCAGTCACGAAAGCTTCAAATCGAAATGACAGAAATATTAAATTTAAACCCCAGCATTGCGCACGTTCGGATACGCTTCTGTGGCCATCTGGAACACTCTACCTTCCGATATTAGGAAGCTACTGGAGCTGTGCACTTTTTATTTGTCTAAGTTGAAAACTAATATCTTCATGGCTGATTTTATTTTTAGTTTGTAGTCCTACCCCAGCGCCTCCGATTAGCGCAGTTGGCCACGTATGGTGTGAAAGAAGTTAAACATACATACACCCGGCAGTCGATAGACCATGTCTATGAATGATTTTTTTTTCTTATTTCACTTGTTTAGCCAATAATTCCTGACCGAGTATAATGACCTCACTGTTCAAGATGGTCCAGCTAAGCTATTTCTGTCCGGGTGGGGAGATGTTGCTGCTATATGTAATCGCAATTGAGTAATTTGCAGTGGATTTTTCAGCATTGGAAAATTTGGCCCATTCCAGTTACAGTGTATGGGAGGAATTCGGAGAACCCAGATAAAACACATTTTGAACAGGGGCAGCACAATGAGTGGACTAATTGCTCTTGCTGGTGTGATGAGCTATGATCTAGTAGACCTTTGCACCACACGTAACTTTCTATAACTTTTGTTGTTGTTTATACCTTTGCTTTTGCACCACTTTTTTATTTGTTTGTTATTTTTTTTCCTGCGGGGTTTCATTTACTTAATAATTGCTATGAAAATGATGTTTCCCATAATATGATGACGCGTGTAATTATTGTACAGCGTTGTGAAATCTAATTAGCATCAATTATGGCATACAGAACCGAAATTAGTGTTATGATTATCATTACTTTGACATTCGAACTCCCACACAGGAAGGGGACCGAGTCGGGGAATCGATCCCAGGCCCCTTCTTTTGGCGAGGCACGAGTGCTGCCGCTGCGCCACGCTGCCACGTGATTGGGATGATGTCCAAGATAATGACGACGATTATGGCAATTGTGACGATGATGATGACGACGACGACTATGACGACGACGACGACGACAACGATGACGATTACGATGATAACGGCGATG